AGTAAGTTCAGTGGATCTGTTGTGCACCACACTGAAATTGGTTTCAAATGTATATTGATCCCAATAGTTGCCAAGACTTCAGCTGAATCACTTAAATTTCCATGCTTAATTTTGAGATTCTTTATTTCAGTGGATGACCCCATTAAAATATTCAAAGGAATAAGGGCAAGATGGGGAAATGATAGCAGAATTTCTTCACTGCCATTCTTTCATATGTATGTGACAAGTAATGTTGATTTCATATTAATTCCATAGGGGCCTTTATCTTTACTTTTTAAAAAAGTCTGTTCTATCTGCTGAATAAATTATTATTCAGTAGATGCATTCAAAGATTGTTTTAGAAATATGTTTGAAATTTTCCCCACATATAGATTGGACCTGTAAGATTTAGATTTTAACTACCGTATTTTTCAGACTATAAGACGCACCGGAGTATAAGAAGCACCAAGATTTTGAAGAGGTAAATTTTTTTAAAAAAGTTTTTGCCCTCCCTCCCCCAGGAACACTAAAGGCCTCCCAAACTCTCTGCATGCCCTGTTTTTCTGCAAAGCGCTCCTGGGGGCCAGGAAGGGCAAAAATGCAATGCATGGGGGGGGTGTTGGGAGGTGAAAAATGGGCCAGTTTTTCATGAAAATGGGGCGTGCAGAGAGTTTGGGAGGCCTGCAAAGTGCTCCTGGGGGCTGGGGAGGGCAAAAACACCCTCATTTTTGTGGAAAACAGGTCTGTTTTCTACTCATTTGTGCCCCCCCCCCAGCTCCCAGGAGCACTCTACAGGCCTCCCAAACCCTCTACACGACCATTTTTGCGAAAAATGGGATGTGCAGGGTGGGGTTTTGGGAGGCCAAAAATTAAGACGCACCAACATTTCCATCCTCTTTTAGGGGGGGGAGGTGCATATTATACTCCAAAAAATAGTGTATATGATTTTAGCTTGAAAAATCTTGCTAACAAATCATTTATATACTGCAGCTGACAGCCCAGAGATAAATATTCAGCTAGTGGGCAGGGGGGAAAAAACAGAACATAGTATCTACAGGGAAAGGTAAAAATGCAGCCTCAGGAGCTGAGATTGGACTGAGGAAACCAGATTGTTCCATGGAGAGCAAAAGGGAGAGAAACAAACATCTCTAGCAAAACACCTTAGTGATTCTTACTGCTTTTCAAGGCCCAATGTAATTGGTGCCTCTTTAGCCCAGCTGGTGCTTGTTAACGTGAAGGCAGCTATCTCTCCCAAGATGCCTGCCCCTTAGCTTGGAGCTTAACTTGGAGCTGCTCCAGCCTTTGTTCTTTGATTTGGTGGTGTCACAGGTTGTGACTTTGGGTCAGAGAACTGAGCTGCTAGGTTTATGGGATGTGCAAAGCTCAGAACTACATCATCTTCCACTCTTTCTGAACTTGGCAGCTCCACCAAGTATTTGCTTTTAGATATCTATCCTTCTGAGCAGCTTCCAGCTGAAATATACCTCACCACAAACTTCCACTTAATGTTCTAACAGTTAGAACTGAAGATGTTTCTTGGATGAGAAGAGAGAATGTTAAAAAAAACAACAACCAAGGATGTCCTTTTGAGAAAAAGCACCTTTGTGACAATCACGACCTGGATGACTGAGAATCTCTATAGAAGGCAGAGGGAGCTAGAAATGCCAATGTCCCATAACTGTATCATCTCAACTGGAATTTCTAGTTCCAAAAAGAAACTGTAAATCACAGCAGCAACACCTTATTTTAATTTGAAATCCTTAAAATTTTATCCAATTTTTTTATAATTTCACTTTGTAGAAATTATAAAAAAATAGGATAAAATTTTCAGTTTCATTGAAATTGGTTGCTAGCTAAATAAAAATATAGTTAAATGTTTATGAATTTCCCCTCTCAAATATTACCAAATTTTTGGTTTAATCAGCCCAACACATTTTGCAGAGCAGCAGACAATGTTATGTCCATCCCAGATAAGGAAAGAAATATTGAAGGGACATTAAAATGAGGACCCAAATTGTTGGGGGCAATATGTTGACTCTGTAAATCACTTAAAGGGGGCTGTAAAGCATTGGGAAGCAATGAAGCAGTGCTATTGCTATTAATTTATTTTAGCATTTGAGGAGGAAAATATTAGAATCCTAATTTATTCTCCACTTCCTTACAGTTACAAATAAATTGTTTAGGGAACAATATTGCTGCCCTTTTACAACACAAATCAAAACATATTCACTTGCCTAATAGTAGATGCAAAAATGCTTAGTTATTTTTACTTATTAAAATAACTTGTCCTTTAAAAAATGTTTTCCTTGAACAACTTGCAGTCACTTTAAAATGACAATAAAATATTAAATAAAAACACTGGGTAAAACTACAGAGCATATAGACATAAAGAGGTAATATAAATATAATTAGATACAGAATTCTATTGCAGAATGTTATATATTAATTATTTCAATGTTTGTCTAGTCCTAGAAAGAAAATATGCCACTGGATGTCCCTTATAAAGGAAACAATATGAAAACTGGGAATTAGTTAAGAAGGTTACACCCTTCTGTACAGTTGCTTCCAAACCTCAACAAGACAGGACAGCTGATGCCTGGCCAAGGTCCAGGGTTTGGGTTGGAATTTTCAGGAAGTGGTTTTCTTCAGATACTGAGACCCAAGTCACAAAGGATTTTTAGGTTAATGTTAGCAACTTGAATCTGGTCTGTAAGTGAACTGGGACCAACCAAAAATACTGCAGAACTGGCATAAAATGGCCATAAAGTTCCAGTTAACATAATGCTATACTGATTCAAGTCTCCAGAGCATCTTTAAAGATATACCTACATATAAGCCACTGCAGTAATCTATAAGGGCATTAATGGACAGTGATTAATGAAGTATTTGTTTATTTAGAGGAAATGTGTTAAGTCATCCATCAAAAGCAAAATATCACTCTATGGATTATGGATTAAGAAAGATGGATGCCATTTACTTGTGTCAGTTTCAATTTATTTCACAGCAAATTGGGATTCTTTGGGGAAAAGGTACCAATACTTTTGGCTGTGCCTACAAGCACTATGGAGAATAATGCACAGCTATTTAGAAATATTTTTAAAATGAAATTTGTGATCACATTACTTTGTGTCTATATTCTAAATTATATCTGTCTCTTTAGAGGCACCTTCTTCACGTGCCAATTTTTGAGATTCCAATCCAACAAAGGAATACTACATTCTTATGCTACTTTCTTTGTTCAGTGCAGCACAACATTCAGATTATGGCCACTTTTCAGAATAGAAGGTTTTCTAAAGTATTTAAAATAAGTTTTAAATTAAATAAACATAAAATTATTTCTTCCTTGGGATTTTAAATGCCACTTTGAACTTAGTATATTTTAACAACCTGCCCCAAACCTAACAGACCTTTAAGTTCAAAAACCTTTCAGAATTTTACAAAATCTTGACAATATTTATCATTCATACAGGCGTAGTTCATGAATATATTAATAAATGAACATTGCATAGATTTCAAAATGTAGAACTATGAATAAAGTTGACACTATATGCTTGAATTTTTAGAAAGTATTTCAACTATTTGGTCAATAACTGTAGATATGAAAACATTTGTCCAGAATGAACAAAGCTTCTTGAAAAGCATACATACCAATAGTTGATAGTTTAATTCTTTTGCATGAACTTTTTTAAAATAACCAACATAAAATATTTCACAATGTTATTTTTGCTTTACTCTGAATAATTCTGAAGACATCCTACAAAATTTCTAAAACAAATGAAGTTGTCAGTTCAAATATATTTTTTAAGTTGGGTGCAATATGAACCCACATTATCTGTTTCTCAGAAAGTATATTCTTAGTTGATGTCTAACCTTTGAAATAGTAATTCCTTCAGCTGATTCCAGGGCAGAGGTGGTATTCAACTGCTTTGGACCTGTTCGGGCGATCCAGTAGCAGAAATTTTGAATAGCTTGGAGAACCGGCAAATACCACCCCTGGTTGGCCCTGCCTTCCCGCCCTCGTCGTTGCCTGTCCTATATTCCCTTGTTTTTTAGTTCAGCTGATTTGTGCAGCAGAGCGGATTACCACGCTTCAGCTGAGCTAAAAAACAGCTCAACTCACCAACCCTGACACCGAGGGCGGTCTTTGAGTGCTATGTGCGTGTGCGAAGTGCTCTCTCATAGAACCAGTAGGAAAAGATTTGGAATCCCACCATTGTTCCAGGGATATCAAAGGATTAACCTGTAAACAATTGCAGATTTGTTTTTTGCAAATGTCCTGTAGTTGGCTTCTTATTCTTCAAAACTTGATATTCTTGCTGAAAATAATAATACTAATAATTGTTCTTTGTAATGCTAAACAAACTCTGTGGACTTAATACTAAGAAATCCTATCCTTTTGAATTCATTGAGCCTCGATGAGAAACCTGTTGCTGACAATAAGTTCCATTAAATCTGGCTAGGGTGTTTTAATTCAGCAATTTTATACAAGCCATGTTTCTCTACCAAGTCAAACATGACTGAATCTCAGCCAAACCTCTAGGATTATATAATAAAAATTAAAGCATCTGCATTTGAGAAATAATAAGTATATCTTTTAATGGTTTTTTGGCTATAGGAGCAGTATCAAATCCCATTTATGATAATTACATTGATCAATGGATGAATAGCTTTTCATCAATTTCAGTGAGAACTAAGAAACTTAATTTTGTATATCCCCCCTCCCCCAAGATAAAATTAGAGTAGTTTTGTCAATTGCTCCTCCCTTCAACTACAGCTAAAAACATGAAGTATATTCCTGGGAACATGGCATGTGCAGATAATTATATTCTATATTATCAATTTGCTTTTCTTCCTTTTAATGCATGGGTGGTGAACAATGGCCCTCTGGGAATTGAAGTCCACAATCCATAGTTTCCCAACCATTATAATGACTGCTTAATACCAGAGTGCCCCCCCTCCCCACATAGGACCTAAGATATAGACCATCCTTGAGTGAGAAATAATGAATCAAAAGCAGAGAATATAGAGAGAAATATTTATTTATAAATTAAATATATATCTGTGTTCAGCAAACATATTAAAAGGCATCTTCACTGAATAAAACCTAATGTTTTAAAAGCAAAAAACTAGTTCTGATGGCAAGTTCCAAATATACTAAAATAATCACTTTCTTTTTTTTTCAATATCTGTATAAACTCTTATATAATATAGATCAGAGCTGTCAAACTCCCAGCCTGTGGGCCGAATGTGTCAGGTGCTGGTCACACCCACACCTGGTTTAGCCAAGGGGGAAAAAGTCCTGATATGTCACGTGACGCCGCCGTGACATGAGTTTGACACCCCTGATATAGACTGAAACATGTGCATTCAGTAGTATCAGTCACACAATACAAAATATCCAGGAGACACCAACAGATTCCCCAGTCACATATTGCGCTCAATCCAAGGTATAGCAAAGCCATAAACAAAGTGATATTTTGGGCTCTGTAGTATTGTAAGTGTTACGCTCACATTATTTCTAACACATATTATTAATGGAAAACAATCTATACCCAGGGCTTCTGTTTATTAATGAAGTTATACTCTTATAGCATACCAATATGTGGCCATACTGATTCAATTCACTGCATTTCATAAACTGTAAATATAAATTAACTTATGAAAAGCTTACATTATTGCTTATTAGAGTCTGAGGAATACATTCCTTTAAGAAGACAGAAATAGGTTGAAAGTGAAACATTAACTGAAAGTTATCTCAAAAATCAATGCCCCATATTTTCACTGATGTTACAAATCAGTGATTTCATTTCAGAAAATATAATTAGAGAAAATTAACTAGTAATAAAAATACAATCTCTTGGCAAATGGCAAAGATTCACCCAACAAATGAGAAAGCAATCACATGCCTTAGAATAATGCTATAAAATAACTCTTATGTATATGGTTGCATTCCTAAATCCTATATCAATCTATAATTCAATTTTTGTTGTTAAGAGGCATGAGGCTAATAGATAGCAATTTTAACTATTTGTGTGCCTGATACAGGTGATCTGTTTGATACAGATAATGAATTATAGTAAAAATATCTTAAATAGTAGGATAATGTTATACTTCGCAAAATGCTGCTATTCTCAAGCATGACAGTTAATTTTCACAGCAATCACACCAATTTCCTTGCAACATGAAGTAGAAAGTAGGAATATCATTGCAAGAGATTTCTGTCCTACATATACTAAACTCTGAGACTAATTCACAAATTATATGTTCATCACAGCTGAAGGACAAAATGTTTTCTTGCCAATACAAGGACTGAGATTGACTGTACTGACTTTTTAGTTGTTTTTTTAATCAACAGTGAGGACAGTGTCATGTTCCCACCCCACTTTGGGAGACCCAGGATAGGTCCTATGGCAAACCCAATGGTTAGGGTTAGGGCCACACTTCATACTCAGCATTTCCTCTGTAAGACAAACTTGCTCACTCTTAGTAGAACCAGGCATCTCACATCAAAACTTTACCACAGACCACCAACTTTCACTGGGTATGGCTACTCATTGCTATGGTTTTTATTGTTTATGAAAAAGTATTGTCTCTTTATTCTAATGCAAGTGGACATGACACAAGGATAGTGGATCTTCATATAGAAGTTGAAAAGGAGCAACAGAATACAGCCTAAGTGATTATCTCCCAAATAGTAATAAAAAGGTAATGTAGGCATAGCAATCTGATGCTTACAATAGGACTTTCCTATCTACACACTGTCGCTGTTAAGGGAAATTTCAGGAAGATTTGTACCATTTAATGAGGTATTAACTTTCCCAGGACAATGCTAATTGGTAAGGCAATACATGTTTTTTAATTCGCATAGGATCACAAAATAAAATAATCTTCCTCATGTTTGCAGACTATTCTATGATTCCTCTTTTGACTTTTTGAGGAGATAAATACATTTTGAGGATTGAGGATTTTTAAAACTGTCATTACAAGTGTGAGGAAACTGGTCTATGATTACCAGTCTTCATCCATAGCTTTTAAAAGTGTATTGTGACTACTCTGGCCTCTTAAGATGTTCCAAAGGAAAGCCACCTGCTACATAAAGGAGTAAATTTACTATCTTTTCTAGGCTGTTTGATATAAATGTGATCTTATTTAATTTTTTAAAAAAAATAGTATTTATCTAACTGAAGACTGGGATGTATGGTTGCCATTTATGTAGTTGTATACTTTGCAGAAATCCAAGACAAAATTGGGTTGATTATACTAAATTATACAGCCTCATTTATGGAGTGGTACAAGAATTACAGCCAGTTAGTTGACTACATGTAGTCCTCAAGTTACGAATATAATGGAGCCTTCCCATTCCATTTATAACCCGAGGATTAGTGGGAGTTAATCTTATACCTTGAATGGGTATAGCTCACTCACTCCTTTTGCCCACGCATTCACTAATCAGATGCGTGGTTCGTTAAGTGCACATGAGATATTTCAGGGTGGGAAATGGGGGGAGGCCTAGTGATGGAACAGGCCACCTGTTTAAGACCACCCAAGGCCTTCCCGACCAACTGAAATATCTCATGATCCCCACAATTGCTTTTCCTCACACCCAACCTGCCACGCTGGGTCACTTACTATGCGAAGATCTAGCAAGCTGTCTCCTCTCCAGCCTGCCACGCCCTTCTGAAACTCCATTTTGGCATGTGCAGGCCTTGTCTGGAATTTTACAGCCCAAAGGAGCTTCATTTTGGGCTGGAAAGTGCTGGACGAGGCCTGCACACACCAAAAGGGAGCTGCGAAGCTCCATTTTGGGTTGCAAAGGCTTTTTGCAAGGATGGTAAAAGTCTTTGCAAATGGAGGGAAAGTTTTGATATTTCAGGCCTTCCCTCGGTTTGCAAGGCCTTTTTCTGAAGATCTCATCCAGGCCTTCGTTTTCAGAGAACAGAGGTCTAAAGTATTGTGACACCACGATAGATCAATAGCATGAGATCTCACAATACTGATCTCACATGATCTTGCAGTACTTTAGGCCTAAACACATGTATTTCAAATACATACAGTTTGATTGCAATTTGTACAAAGTGAATATGTTTATCTATAATTCAAATGGAAGAGTCATATTTTTAGCATATTTCTGCGTACTCACCAAGGGCCTGAAGTGCCAAAACAGACCAAGAAAGTGAAGGGTCTCTAGATCTTCGCAAGGTGATTATCCACAGGCCTAGTGCCTTTGAAGACTGGGTGGGGGGAGGAAAATAGGCAGGGTGAATGTTGCAGAGCCTCTGTGGTCATTCATAAGGGCTGCCATGAAGCTGCACTTTAGTAGTTTCAGGACTTGTTCATAAACACTAGGGGAGCGCTTATTGCGTATGTTTGCTAAGGGAACGCTCGTAACCATGTATATGTGCAAATCAAAACAAAATCATCTAAGTAGCATTAGAAAACTGTTTTCTTACTATGGTTGTGTACTGAATGAAAAGAATGAAAAATATGAAAGAATATAATTCAGACTTATCATAAGAAAAATGCAAGTAATCAACACCATAGTGTCAAAAGACAATTTGTTATGAGATCAAAGCACAGAAGTTGTGAAATAGTTATGCCGGGTTATATAAGAAAAGAAATTAGCATCTCATTTTGATCAGGGAAAAAGCTGTATACATTTTTGTATATTTTAAAAATAGTATGTAAGCTAGAAAACCATTTAGAAATATTCTTTCCATGTCATCTAGGAAAACAATGTTAAGCAACAGATTCCCATTACAACTCTGTCTTGTCTGGTTGTGCAGATGTAGAACTAGCATTGTCTTCTCCAGCATGATTCTTGTCTACAGGCTCAAAAGCTAACGAAGCTGAATTTATGCAATATCGTTTTCCAGTTGGACGTGGCCCATCATCAAATATATGGCCAAGATGAGCACCACACTAAAAGAAAATAACATTATTTGTGTTTATTTTTAAATATAGAAAATATAGTGGGAAAACGTAAGGTACATGTATTGTTGTTTGAAAGTTAACATACATGAGCTTTATTTTTAAATTTGTTAAACTGGATTTAATTTAATCTGGGGATTTAAAATGATGGCCTTCAGTCATTATTCCTTTTTATTTAGTCCTTTCAGAAACTTACTCTAAACAAATGTATTTCAAATACATACAGTTTGATTGCAATTTGTACAAAGTGAATATGTTTATCTATAATTCAAATGGAAGAGTCATATTTTTAGCAATACAAATGAAAGAGATTAATGTAATAATGTAAGATGTACAGTTAGTTTAAGATTGCCATATTGTTCTTTTCTGTCCTCTTCAAATGAAATTAATTCTGAAGAGGATGTTTAACTACAGTAAGTAAACACTACAACAATGTAACATTATAATATTCAAAAGTGTTTCCGGTAGATGACTTACTAACTCTACAAAGAGGTCCCGCAAAAGCTAAAATAGCTGCTTGAACAAGAAGTGCAGGATTATTCCATAGAATTCTGTCAGGATTCAGGATATCATTTCTGAAGAAGGTCCCTGAGTACTCAAAACTTCCAAGATAATTTTTATACAGAAAAAATTATAAATAGTATATTCTTTTGTGGCAAAATAGTTCATTCTTATCACTTTACAATTAAAGAACTGTACGATACCCAAATAAAGGTAGTTTTGAGACACATTAATATGTTCATAGTTCATTTAAACCTTTATAGTTCCCAGCTAGGAATAGCCGCTCCAAAGACACACCTATGTTGTCTAGCAAATTTATTTTATATCAAGACCACATTTTCACTTTAGCTATATTGGACTTCTATTTCCCCCTGGAAACTAACATAAATTATGCAAAATATATTTATTATCTATGCTTTTAAAAGAATACTTGATTTTATATCTACTAATCTGCTACTTTATGATTTACTCTCCTGTTAAATACCCTATTATAATAATGTACTATTATTATATACCATTGCAAGCTACCTTCTGATTGCTTTGGAATGAAAAGCAGAAAAACAAATCCCAGAAACAGGAATATATGAAAGTGGTTAATTGTCTACATACACACAAGTAATTTAACTGAAGGGTTTAAGTCGAAGAAAAAGATAAATACAATTATGCTTTTACATCAAAGCTTCCCATGTAGATTTTTTCCTATAGAGTGCAGCTCTACTAGCACTGAAACAATTTTATGATTTGTTTATGATGATTGCCAGTATGAAAACTCTGGAAAAAAAGTGAAAATAAGTGTGTAATATGTAAGCTCGCTTCTTAGCTTGTTCAAATGATTACTTTAATATCAATTTTTAAGTAATTCTAGCACACCGATATAGAAAACGTATAATAAAACCAAGATCAAACTTAAATTTCAATTGAAACTAGTTCAACTGCAGTAAAAAAGCTGAGTTAGAATTTTTATTCACCATTGCATTTGCCTTTCTAAATACTTCTACTTATGACTTTCAGTCAAATTTCTTTTGTGTTCTTTTATAATTGACCATATCTTCCTGTTTCTGGGATTTGTTATTTTGCTCAATAACCTTTTCTCCCTGATAAGTCTGGGTTGTGCCATTAATACTATGGAAGACAGATGATAGTAACAGTCAAAAGGAATTAGAATGAGGCATATAATGTAAAACACTATTTAACATAATCACTCAAGTATTTTGGCAGAAGAAACTTGAAGATAAGGAGAAGATACATGAAGATACATAAGAATAACTCCTGGATTTCTGTTAGTACTGCTCCTCAACTATTCGTAATGATGAAAGTAACACCCATTATCCACATTTTGCATTTAGATTTAAGAGAGCAGAGGTCAGAGGGGAACCTCAAAAGGATGTTTGCCTGAAGGACAATTTCTAAGCCTTCTGATTTAGGTCACTTCTGTACACACTGTTAAATAAAGTTTAACCTAGATAACAATATAGATTCTCATTAGACTTTAACTTTTTATATCTACCAGCTGTCATGCTTATGACCAAGCAGACAATGGTTAATTTTGGGATAACTAAGTCTTTCTATGTGAATGGATGAACTAGAGCTGCTACAAAAAAAATTTTTTAACATTAGATCGGCTTTTTTGTTGTTTTTAAACTGACCTCAGTGCAGCTTGTCTCAACCCTGTGCATCCCAAATGAGAAGTCATCAGTACATGTAATTGTGTCAGAGTTGATTACATCATAGAATGAAGGCCAACCTGAAAAATAAAAAGGGAGAAGAAATTAATCAGGAATGATTTGAGGGTTAAATAAACTTCTGACAGTTTTAATCACAAATGTTATTCTCAGGCATTTGCTATACACTGAAGGAGCACATTGAATAGGCAAGACAACGCAGTAAGTTTTCATATTGTGCAATACTGTACTATTTTATAATCCTATATAGTCTTAAAATGTGTGAACCCTCTGGAGAATTATATTCATTTATAACTGTCATTTTAAAATCCCCACTTTTGAAGAATCTAAACAAGAAACCAAAAGTTAACAGGCCTCCAAAACATAGGCATTCTTATCAAAGTGAGAGAAAAGGGTTTTCTCAAGCACTCCATTAAATTTCCATCACCTTCTACTTTTAAAAACAAGATTTCTGGTATAGCATATACACAAGCATGTGCTCTTATTCATGCACATGAGGGATGACTAGAAACGCATGTCATTCTGGCATGTTTTATATGGGAAAATGTCAAGGACCAACATTTTTCTAATGAGCTAATTAGGAACAGTTGTTTTTCTTTTATCAAAAAAATTAAAAACATTATATCAATTAACTGCAAGTTTTATATGAACTGGGTTTATACAATACAGCCAAAAAGACAGTGTAAATAACATGCTTCATATCTTCCACTCACCTTCACCATTTTTTTCTATGAAGATTCTCATGGGAAAGTTAGTATAACTCCTATACAAAAACTAATGGAAACACTGCATTCCTACTCAGTCATGTAAAACTAATGATTTAAAATTACAGCCTAAAATGTATCCTACAAAGTATATCAGATGAGGAGATATAGAATTCTATAAAATCACTGAAGACGAAGACCAAAATGACACATTTGTCAGGTTGTGGACAGCTGCACCATAGATGTCTCCATTCCTGCCAACTCAATGGAAAAGAGCCAGGGAAAAGCAATTCTAGATTTCTCAGGAGGAACAGGGTCCCCATTAATTGCTTCTGGATTGAGCCTTTTATCTATTGTTAAAACAGACAATAGTGTTTGGAAGAAAAATGGCCTTATCATGTAAACAGGTTGAAACTTGTTCAATATTGAAAAAAAATTCTGAAAAGTCTATTATACATAAGTGACTAACAAGTATGAATACATTGAGAAAATACCCTTCTTATGAGAAAAATTACATTGCAGAAATGCTTCAAATTAATTTCTTTCCAGTTTTGATATTAATAATAAATTACACACTGTAACAGATTTTTCCATTTGGATTCTGCCGAAAGCCTTTAAAAATTTACTATACGCTTTGAAGTCAGCTGAAAACTCATAAAAAAGATAGTCTCCTTCCAGTCAATCTTAGCTCTTGGTAACTGTATAAATATTTCTAGGTAGCTTTCTGGTCAATAACACGGGTTTTCCTTTTTTATGTATGTTGGTGTGTGCATTTCTATTTCTATTAATTATTACAAATTAATAAATTACAATAGTGTAGAAAGTGTTGCAATAGTCCAACCATGACATGTTCAAGGGTTGAGAGACAGAGCGCAGGGTATCCCAATTCAGGAAAGGGTACCACTGGCACACAACATGAAGTTGCACAAAGGCGCTCTCAGTCGCAACTGCCACCTGCTTATCAATCAGATATCGCGAGTCTAGGAGAACCCCTAAGTTGCACACTGGATCTGTTTGGAGTTGTGTAACCTATCCAGAATTAGAGGAGCTTGCTATGGTTCAGTCGAAACTTGTTGCCCCACATCCAGACTCCAACAGCTTCCAGGCAGTAAAAAGCTTCATTTGGATCACCAGGGGTGGAAATATAGAGTTGAGTATATTATATACATACTGATGATACTTCAACCCATGATGATGAATGATCTCACCCAGTAACTTCATGTAGATGTTAAAAAGGAGAGAAAAGTACCAAGCCCTGCGGTACAACAAAATAAATGGCTGTGGATTTCTATTAGAAATTCTATTAAAAACAGTTTGCCTGGATTGTTAGTTCTTTTTTTTAATTAAACTTGTTTTAAAATATAGTTATCAGGGACTTGGAAAAGGAAGATTATATATATATATATATATATATGTGTGTGTGTGTGTGTGTGTGTGTGTGTGTGTGTGTGTGTGTGTGTGTGTGTGTG